CCCCAAAACCCCAAAACCCCATTTGTAAATAATTTGCAAAAACTGAATTTCAAACTAAGAATTAAATTTTAATCATAAAATGGATCTGTACATTCAATAATCGGAGAAACAAAGCAATCTCAAGATAGAGCTGCTCAGATAATATGGCTTGAGTTTGGGAGATGTCTTTAATCTAAATAGGCTAGCAATCTAAGCAGCTGAGATGTCAAATTAGGGTACTAGTAGTGAAGTAAAAATAGGTGCAAGTGTTATGACTATATCAGGGACTATGTATCAAGGCACATTTATTGAGCATTCATCTTCATATAGCACAGGTATATCTGCAGAGGATAGTGCCATCTTTAAAGCTAATAGCGATGGTTAAACCTAGTTTAAAGCTATTTGTGTCCATGTCAAACACTAAGTCAAAGAAGAAGACCAGCCAATACAATAGCAAAGCAGTGGCAATATTTTCCAGTTAATTGGAAATCCCCAAAGTCTTAATAGTCCCTCACTTATCTCGCCAAGACTTAATCAGCAGCTCCTATCATCAGATATGTACACTGTCCCCGAACTATAAAGAGGAAATTCAAGTTAAAATCTATATGAAATTATGAGAAATACTCAGCAATCCTCATCCTAAAAGAACGGGTTTTAAGCTCAGTCATAGATTTAGTTACAACAATAGTAGAATCAGTAGAAAAGATTCAAATCAGTATTCTAGATGCCGAATGGCTAATGGAGAAATAGTCTTTTCATTAGTAAAAATCAGCATATGCTCTTTATTTCTTGCAAAAGCGAATAAAATTTCATTGTCAAAGCCTCAGAGTCAGTTCTGGCATTAGCCTCGATTCCGAGTCTAACTCAAAGCCTAAATAATTAATTCTAACAACAATTACCAATGAGTTTACAACAAATACATCATGGATAGAAGCATCCATCACAGAATTAGTAGATTTAATAACAGAATGAGAAGATAAGATAGACGCTGGATAAAGCAGCTTCCTGGGCTTAGCTAGACTTCAATGAGGAAACTAGATATTAATGTGAGAAGTTAATAATTAGTGATCCTAAATAGAAGCTTAAGTCGATGTTTAACCAGAAGTTAACATTTAATGAACCAGGGGTAATTCTAAGGAAATATGAATGCGGTTTTAATAGGATTAATTATGTTACTCTCCAGCTACTAGCTCATGGTATCAGTGAATATCTGTTTGAAAAATATGATAGGAATGAGTTAGCAAACTAGGGAGTAGTTGTGGGTTTCGATTCAAGATATGAGTCTTTTGGATTAGCACATATGATGGCTGCGGTTCTGAAGGCTTATCAAATAAGAGTGTTTTGTTTGGATCGATATGCTATCTCTACTTTTGTGTCCTACTTTTCTCAAAAATTCAAGTGCATTCTGGGGTTATTCATAACTGGAAGAAATAAGTCTAAAAAGTACTCAGGGATCATGATCTTTAACTCGCAAGGTAATCTTATATCACTCGAGCAATCTAAAGCCATTGAAAAATCAACCCAAGAATATTCATAAAACCTATCATACTTGATAGATTTGAGCCCATTATTTGATTATACTGCAAAAAAGGTTAAATTCAAGCCAGACAACTTTACAGATGTGACTATGAAATCGTACATTTAAGTCATAGAGGAGAAGTTTCTATTTAATCAGAGAAAGATCAATAAGCTTTCAGATAAGATAGTATTTTCTAGTCTGCATGGCCCAGCTTACGAGTTTATGCGAAAGATATTCGCTAACTTCGGGTTCCCTTCACTAATAATACCTGAACAACATTAAAACATGAGTGCTTTATTTGATACTGTAATCATTCCTGATGTAAATTTGTAATAATTAGTACTGAGATACTCATTCCAATGTTGCGACCAAAAGGATAGCAACATCATAATCTGCACTGACCCTATCGGAGAGCAAATTCAGCTAGCTGAAAGGATCAAAATAGGCGAGAAAATGATTTGGAAAATATATAAGGCGTCAGATCTTGCTATAATTCTGATTGAGTTCTCAAAATAAAGCCTAGCTTAGCAATAGGGAGAGTAAAAAAATTCCATTGTTGTAGTTTTAGATTAAAACTCTCTCTCAGTGCAAAAATACTGTGAATCTGAAAAGATTGAAGTTATTACGTTAGCTGAGTTTAAACAGGAGAATTACCATGACAGGTATCTCATAAAAGTAAACACAGAGACATCTTCATTTTAAATAGGCTCATATAGAGGATACTATGATAGCATTATAACTTCTATAGTAATTGCTTAACTTTTAGTTTAGCTGTAGTAGGATGATAAATCCCTGTATTATGATTATTTGATGCCAATGCTTAATAAAATCTAAGAATAAACTTAGGAGTTTAGGTTGCATATGCAAATAGTTCAAAATGATCAGAAATGGTTTTAAATTTTTGAAGAGATGGCTACATTATATAAAGATAAATCAGTTAAAATATTGTCCCAATAAGAAATAGGAGATATTTAAATAATGAGCTTTAAACAATAAAAAGGTCTAGAAGAGATTAGTATATATATAATTCAATTGGAGTTGAAATATAATTTAATTATGAAAATTTACTCCTCAAAGCTATGCTAAATTAAAGTTCAATATGAAGACGTAGAGAATAAGAATGATGATAAAAAACATATTAAGCTTATTAAAAAGATGATGTTTAGTATTATCAAAGCAGCCTACAATGAGTAACAATTTGAGATACTAAATGAATAGTCTCCCTAGATAGAATCATAGTAATCAAATGGAGGGGGTATCCATCTGCCTATCAAATAAAAGGTACTGCCTCTGCTTACTTTTATCTGAACCTCTGATAAATGAATTAATAAATGAATAAGTTTAAGATGATTGTAAATTTAAAGTTAATTTCTTAAAATATAAAATCTAAGGGTATATATTTTTCTGGGGGTTGCTGTTATCTAGTTAATTTTCATGTGAAATGAATGCCAGTTTTAATCATAGCTTCAGCATACTTAGTCTCCTAACACTTTCTAATGGGTTTCATTGGTTGCTTTGTGATGTCCATTGAGATCTCGTCGTTGTGTCTGAAGCCAACACTCTGGTTGAAGGTCATAGGGATCTTGTACTTGTCTTGCAGCTCATTTCCCATTCTCTTGTGCTTGAATCTATCCTCCTTCATCTTGGTGAAACTAGTGTATTCCTTTGCACCTGCTGCCTTATTATTGACTTTGTCCCTCAGTCTTCCCATTGCTGCCGAGAATTCTTCCCATGAAACTTTTCCGTCTTAGTTTGTGTCGAACTCCTCCATAAACACTGATAGGTATTTAAGACTGATGTTTTCTTACTCTTGACTTCTTCCTCTAGAGGTGGGAAGCCGTATGTTTCGAATAGCAATTCTTCAACTTCATTTGCTGTGATATAACCGCTATGATCTCTGTCTACCTTTTCAAAGCTTCTCTAAAATTCCTCCTCAGAGAAAGTGTTGATGCCTATATGATGATATTTAAGAGCAAATTCTGATACCTAGAGCATTGACTAAGCTGGTTTAGAATACGTTGGGGGGTCCAAGAGAAGTTATTCCGAAGAAAGCCATTTATTCAATTAATCTTTAAATAATTATAAATCAATTTAACTCTTCAAATTAAAATTCTGAACAAACATCTTTAAACTTAGAAATTTATTTTACTAGTTTAACTATCACTATTATATTAATGAACTTATCTAATATCATTCAAGCTCTATGACACACCATAATCATAAACTCTAATTAAATTAAAATAATACTCACTGATTTCTATTGTCTAGATAAAGCTATATTTTGGGTTTGACTAGCTCTACGATGCTCATTGTTATAGCAACATTCGGTACATGGAAAAGTATCCTTGCAAATGACCCATTAAATAGAGATCTCATGCCTTCATCCCTTCCAATCTTATAGACTCCATCAACGAGATGCTTATAGTAGAATTCATTTTTAACACCACCACCGATCTTTCCAGCTCTTTGAACTTGGAGTCTTAGTTTCGCCATATCAAGTGGATTAGTGATAACACTTGCACCTGCTCCCGCTAGCATGCTACACAGCATTGACTAGAAAAATCCAATATCTGACTTCTAGCTAGCTTTAATTGATTCCTCGTCTTGTCTATTAGTCTTCCTCAAATACGACTAAGGATCATTGAGAACAAATAGTCCCTTTAGCTTTTCATAAAATAGAAAGTAAAATGCAGAAAAAGGTCCGAACGACATCACTGTCGCACCATAGGCTCGATAAAGTCCCCTCAAACCCTCAGTCTTTAGGACTTATCTTACTGCATCTACATCATTACTGTAGTTAAAAGTCTTAAGTTCAAACTAGACCTACCGTCTTTCTTTTATCACATCAATTGGCACAAATAATATGCACGCCATAGTTTCTGCAAAAAGACCTCCACACAAGTAAGAGATGAAAGGGTTTTGCTACAAGAAATGGTATTATAATGTGTTGTTCTTGAAAAACTCATAGCTACCAAAGTATATTCCAGCTGCTGGTATCGAGCCTAATACATTAATGGCAAAGCCTCTATAAAGACCACCAGGCCCTTGACTCCTTATGGTTTCATTGGCTATTGACAATATTCTAGACTACTGCAGTAAGGATGATCTGGCATTTTAATTCATGCTTGTATTCTTGTTTTTCTAGTTTGATTATACTTGCAATTTGGCTTTTATTGTATCAACTGGATGGACTATGGTTTTCCCAACTGAGGATGCAATGAGTCCTGAAATTGAACTAGTCAAAGTAGAATTAGCAGCACTTTTTTAGCCTTAATTATCCTTTGTTTAAACCATTTTAGCTAGATTTTAAAAGTTAAGTTTGCTTAATTAATTTGACGAACTATTTAAAATCTTTGATGCATCTTTAGGGGTTTTGGGGTTTTGGGGTTTTGGGG